TGTTTTCCAGGCCGGCGTGATAGCAGCTCTCCCTTATTTGGTGATGTGGATTTTAAGTTTTCCAGTATGTTGGCTGGCAGACTATGCTTTAGAGAAGGGTGTTTCAAGAGAAGTGACTAGGAAGGTTTGCAATACACTTGCGCATTGGGGACCAGCGGTAGCTTTGATTTGTCTTGCCACAATGCCAGTGCACGATTCTGCCGTGGCTGTAACCATTCTCGTAATAGCTGTCGGATTAAATGCCGGATCTCTATGTGGATTCCAAATTAATCATATCGATCTAAGTCCAAATTTCGCTGGCACGATGATGTCCATAACGAATTGTATCGCATCTGTGATTGCAATAATTGCACCCTTAATTTGCGGCGTGATCGTGTCCGATGAGGTATACAAGTAGTATGAATCGCAACAATTTCGCGTAAACCCTTACAACGATAATTACATCAAAGAATCTTTCGTTTTCAGACAGACGCGAGTCAATGGAACATGGTGTTTTATTTGTCCGCTGTTATTTATGTCGTGGGAAATTTAATTTTCATTATCTTCGGCAAGGCTGAAATTCAACCGTGGAACGATCCCAAAAGTGCGAACGCTCAAGAAGAAAGTAAGAAAGAGTTTAGAATGACATAAGTATTCTAATACTGAATGCGTTACCTTTTCTTATTGTTCCAACTGTTCTATAGTACATTAGTTTATTTTAGAAAAGTAATTAGAATAAGGATCAGCTAGTGTGCTTCGGGTTAGCATGTTGGGTATGGAGGGTGATATATTGTTCCGCGTGCAAACTGCGTCAGCCGATTACGAAATGTCGGCTAAACGGCACAGAAAACAAAGGCTCTACTTTACACAAATAGATAAATGAGCTTGTTAACAGCGTTCTCTTCCAGGTTCGTAGAGTACAAGATTGTTTTTGCACCATTCTAGTCCTAAGTCACAACTTTTATCGAACAAATTCTAGGACCAATGTTTAGGTCTGAGAGTAAAAAGAGAAATATAAAATTTTAAGTTTTTAAGAAATACAAAACGTGTATAATAATATATTTTACTGATTTTATATGAAATTTAAAATCAGGAATGACTGAATAGAGGAACATTAAATTTTTATACGAAAACAATCCTAGCTGCCTAAATGTTCCCGATAAGTCGTTGAATATTATTGACATACGTGGCTGTTAAATATATTCAATTTTAATGCAATATGAATTTGATACGAAGTGCATAATAATTTACAAAGACACGAAGCTTTAAACACTAATGTTCAGCATAGAAAATTTCAAACAAAATTTCGATCTAGAAAATATGATTCTGGCTCTAATTCTTATTTCAAAAATAGATTATAGTGTTACTTGTAATGAAATGTTCATTTCAATGCACAACATATGCTTTTCCTTGTTTAACTAATTGTGCACTGCAACGTAGTGACAGAGTAATCATCAGAAATAGTCATCGAAAAATCAAAATAGTAATTTTTTCAGCTGTTTCTTTCATTCTTACAATATTCGGGTTTCTAGTATTCCTTCTCTATTTCATGTCGATCATATACTACTGAGTTAGCGAGTAAAACTGATTTACGTGTGTATACATATTATACTAATAATTGATTTATACGATATAGAGTTCGCGCAGAAGATACATATTCTTATCTTCGAACCAATTTCACAGCATTCTCCTTCCCCCAGCATCGGTTAATCTTTCATCTTCAGTTTGTAATATTTTCTGGACTAATAACTTACAGTGGCTATATTATGTGGGATGTAAAAAAAGTTCACGACATCCTCTGTTAGTAAAATGAAAGAGAGTTTCAACATTGACGCAAGTATTAAAAAAATTTGCCAAAGAACGAAAAGACCCTAAACTTTGAATAATGTATATATGTAAAGAATTCGTGTGTAACGTGCATCCTGCAATGTCAAAAAGAGTGAAATGTACGAATTATGCTTATGACTCCTAAAATTTAGTAAAATATTTGGATGCGCTTACGTTTTAAGATGTATGTACGTAAAGTAGATATATTTACCGCATAAACATAATTACATTTTTATTATGGCGACAATCGTTCGCGTAATTGTTTTAGCGACCCAACGGTAGTGCCAGTGTTGATTTTTCTAATAACGACACGACAATAATATTGTGATAATATAATATTTAACCTAATTACAATTATTGTATTAATTTATCTAAACACGAAGATGCTCTCAATATTACAATCGTGTTAAATAGGGAGAAAATAATTTACCGTAGAATTTGCACAAACCAGCCGGACAATTAGATCAATAATTATGGCAAAATACAATCTAAATACGTCTCTAAACAAACGTCTATTAGCCTTACAGAAAAAATTTCTAAAACAAATCAGACTACAAATATCTAAATATTTGAAAATTGTACGTTTTATGTCATAATTTGGAAATGGTAGGAAACAGATTAATGCGTTGATGAGTTATGTACACACACATCAAGTTATCCACTTGGTTGTTAATTGAAAATTTCGTATGGCATATGATAACAATTGAATACATGTTCTTTAGGTATCGTTGTAATTATTATGAACGAGTATTAACACCTTGGAATGCATTTTTGTCATTTGTGTGCAGGTTTTATCAAATCGTGAAATTTATTAAAAATCTCAAAACTTAAGATACAACAACTTCGAGTTAGTAGTTTTTGCGATTATCAGAATACAGAAATACGCGCGTGTAATATGTACACACGATTTTACTTTATTAACAATAATACATATATCGGGAATGATTTACTCTAAATTTCTTGCTAGACTGTGCGTCGTAAGTTAGAGTAAGTATAGCTGATCCTCGCAAGGGTCGTAAGAGGAGGATTCTTGTACAATTGGAGAGAATTCAAGCGTGTTATTTTACAATTATAAAAAATACGCGGCCAAACTATGCAAGAGTATGTTCTATTTCGAAGTGCCGCGAGAGGGTTCCCATTTTTTAAGGCAACGCAATGCGGGGCATGCAACGCAATGTCCTCTTCCAAACAATAAATCCTTCGATGTGCTCTAGCTACGTGACTTCGAGTCGGTAGCTATCGTTCAACACCTATATTGCACATTCCCACACGCACTTTCGTCGGTCAAATACAGTCTACTCTTTGGCATAAATCGTTCGAAAACAAAATATCGTCGAGCTAATTGCCCCCAACGATCCCGAAATTGACAGAGATACGAGCAGATAAGTACTTGAAACCATGGTCAGGACCGTACAAAGAATTCTTCTATCCAGCGAAAGTCAAACTGATTCTAATATATTTACTGAAAATTGAGTTCAGCTAGGACAATTTAGGGTTTTTTTCTTCTGGGAAAAGCCGCATTTGGAAGTACGGTTACAAGATGCAGATAGAAAATGCAAAAGGATTGTGTAGCTTTAATATTAACATATTTTCCATTTGTAAATGAAATACCATTTTCTACTTGAAGTACCAAATCATATGCTACCATTCGTTTATTGTTGGAACCCTCAAACAGACTGCAACACACGGCCTTGAGTGCCGCAACATCAATCGATGCCGATTCTTGAGAGTTTAATTTACGACCTCGCTATATCGTGGCCCCAACTATATATCGTCGTTAACATACTCGTTTTGTTGTGTCCTTTAAACATATAATTGATTAGCACGTGCAAACTTTAGTTTCTTGTATATACACTTGCACACAAGTTCTGTTTCACTGTACGAGAGGTACAGAAATGAAGAAGGTATGTAAGAAAAACGTAAGAAAGGTATGTTCATAATGGTACTTGAGATTTTCTCTGATTGTATAACAAGAAGGCGTAACTGTTTATGGAATGTAAAAACTCGCGTGTGATTTACGGCTATTATGTATACTTTAGGTAATAGATGCTATATTTTCAAGAAAATTGTCATCCGTCCATTTCCATAAAAAATCATATCCGTCCTTCTGCTTTATTAAATCTGGACTTAACAGGAAGATTAGAGATGGTTAACTGAATAATTAGGAATTAAATATGCCATGCTTGATAAGAAGCCAGGATTATTTTAAAGCTATGTTTTCACGCCGCGGCTACATATGTATAGTAATGATACCTCTGAGAAAAAATTATAAACTTTTACCTACTTGTTGAAACCTGGGGGCAATCAATGGGCATTCAGGGAAGAAGGTCCAAACATGGGCTAGTTGAAGTATTGAATCATGTCAGGTACTTCACCCTATTGAAAATGGGATGAAACCACGAGTGTTGTGTTGCAAAACGTGTTATTTCTCTTATTTCGCTATTTTAAAACATTTCTCAGACAAGTTCGTTTCATTCTTTCAGCAATCATCTATCAAACTAAGAGCTAATTAGGTAAGAGTACTAGTGCTGACAGTGTAAGCTTCTTTTTAGTTTAAGTTTTCTAACGAATATCATCGCGTAGTAATGAATACCATCGCTTCCTGATCAAATGATTTAAATATGGGTTACAAAGGTGGTAGCCTTATAATATGGGCTAGCCAATAACAGAATTCGGTGACTATGGGAATTGTAATAAGAAAAATACCAAAACTTTAAAAAGAAAGACAAAAAGAAGATTTATAAAATTTTAGAAAACTATTGCAAACAGCATTTAAGTTTCAGTTTATCTACCTTTTGAACATGTTTTTAAATATTTCAACCTGAAAATATGCAGTTCTTACTTTCCACTTGGATGATTGTACGAGTGGCTCATATTTAGATCACTTTTCTAAAAATGAAGATTTTCCCTTGCAATAATTTGCAACATACGTGTTACAGATATATGTCTTAAAAATGATCCACAGGTTTGACAATCAATCCTGAAAAGTGCTAGCCCATCTCCTTTATTTACAAACGATTGCTATTACAAATGTAAACGAAACGAAACTTTCAATTATTTATATTTACATATAATTCTTGGACGAATATTCTTTCTCTCAATAATTTAGTAAAGGAATGTAATATTGCAATAATTTGACTGGTCGTAGTATTATGAAATTTTCATAGATACATACTTCCTTTTGCTGATGTTTCAAACATGGCGAGTATAGATGTAACGCGAAATTTCTATTCCCGCTTCTTTCTTCAACAAACTTATTTCTAATATTTACTAGCTTCTTAGCTATATTTCTAATTTCTTCTGTTTAACAATACATTACGTGAAATATTGGTTCTTCGCTAGATACAGGAAAAAAAGAGGAAAATGTACAATAGAATGATGTACTATTAGCCTTCATTTATGAATAAACACATTGTTCGTTTAGTTTATCGTTTAAAAATGGTTACACTGACGGTTCAACGTATCTTTATAGAAAAAAATATTTTGCAAGATATGAAAAGTAATTATAGGAGTAAAGATTAAACTTTTCTGCAGTTACGTCGAGTGTAATCAAAGATTTAACCGTGGAATTAACAGTGCTGTTCTTAGACGATCTGATGTATTTATAAATTGACAATACTCCATCGTTCGGTTGAGTCGTGTTTTGGTTAGTGCAAATATCAGTCATCGCAACAGCATCGCAGGATTTTGCCTATTTTCAGTAATGACTCAGTGATGTACGAGTGAATTGTCTCAATCTGCGACTAGAATTTCTTAGCGGCATAGTGATTTCCAGTCTGTTTTCGTCCCGTTTCATCGAGTATTTAAAAGATAAGCAACGTAATTATCGTTAATTCCCGATTTTCGTCACGCGATCATACGCGGTTTTATATAATAGCAATAATATTTCGAGGCATCGTTACTGTGCTCTATAACAATACGCATGTGTTTTTCAACTAGATAAGGGAGAAAAGTGATAATGTACTGTTGTGTATACGCATGCAGAGTGTGCAAGTTGGAAATTAAGAGTGGGAGAAACCCTTTTCAGTGATGGACTATAAAACCACGATCGACGAATTGATGGATCGTAGTGTCTTTTTTGCGATTTACTTCGAGACTTGACCCTACCTGAGAATTTCCGTACGCGTTCGAATATTCTTATCAATATGACACATTCGCACGCAACGAAACGAGTTTCGATCATCTCCATCTCGGAGCGGATGCAGATACCGGCGTCTAAGCCCAAAGGTATTTATCTTGTTTACTACTTTACAGTTAATCTCTTCTCACATTTCAGAAAAATCCACTTGATTACCATTTCGATTTTAGTCCATTCCTTTTCAAATAACACAAAGAGCGACACGAAACGACGTGTTGTCAAAAAAAAAAAATGCAAAAATAAACGAGAAATTTTCTTCTCCTTTATTTATGAGTTAGCAATTTATTACTTTATTTCATTTCCAATCATATTTCGTGTAACACAGAAACACGTTTTACACGTGCTGCGTTTATGTACTGATAACACCAGATCGGAAAAATACGATAGAAATGTGCGCACACTCAATAATGGAATTAATCGTTCCAGAAGATAATACACAAAAATCAATCAGATTTTGATTCAGTGACATTAATCAAAGATAAGTTTTATTTGTCTCGGCTTGTGCAAAGATTAGCGACGCCTGTCCTCGTTTAAAATCGTGCTCCTCACGTGCTTGGATTCTCCCATTTGTTCAATCATTTTTCATAATATCTATCAAGACACTCCTACGTATCGGTCTAAAGAATACAAGTTCGTTTATTTCAAAAGTGACTTTATTTCAGAGGAATTGCTTTATTGCCGTTGTCATATTTTTCTCTCGCGTCGATCTTTCTTCACTTTCGCACATATCCTAGAACATTACTGAAAATATTTATTACTCGTTGCACCTGTATGGCAAAGTATTGATTATACTTGCATTGAATAACGAGGACGTTTAAGAACACAATGTATTTTGTGCAACGTGTGTAGCATAATTACGTGACCAATCGGTTTGAATTCCAAGATGTAACGTCAACAACTCGTCAATGTCAGATTTCTCGCGATGTCCTAGAAATGTGGAATAAGCGGATTGCTCGTCCGCGTTCTCTGCATTGCTCGTGATTATCGTTGTACAAAAAATATGGAATGCAACCTGATAAATATCATTTAGAGAATTATCGTCGAATTATAAGATAACGCACTATCAAATAACTGTGGATTCTTACAGATTCTAACTGCTACTGGCGAAGCTTATGAAATAGACAATATAGGAATCAATCACAGATTGCAATACAGTAATTGCATACACCGATTGCACCAAATTGGTTCAAATAAGTTTGAACGAGGAAGAACGTGCAGGTTAAAGATTATTATTTATTGCACAGTTTCTTGTAAATTACGCATTACTTATTCTGAAATTGTTTTTTACTCGTCTTTTATAATATTTTCTGAAGCTACACGAGTATCGTTTCCGGATAGGTGTCTGAATAAGAGAATTAACGCTTGCAGAAAGTGAAGACACCTGAAGTAACCTTTTGAAATGCAAATATTTACTTGACAGTTTTCACATACAAAACAGTCACGTGCATTGGACAACGCGTTAAACCAATTTCAGTACACCTTCGACGTTTTTTTATATATTTTCATGTTTGCTTTAACAATATGATCTACGAAATTGCACCTCCTCGTAATTTGACGATTCTAGAAAAGACAGAATTTCTAATTCTATAGAAAACTTTGCACATTTTTCGTTAAAAAGTAAGCAACGTGACAGTGGATCAAGGTTAATTAGTCTAAACATAGATGACAAAATGGTGAAGTAATTGTATACAAAAGTGCAAAAGTTACGGTGTAAAAAGGAGTTAAACGAGATTTGTAGGTTTTTTGTGTGTTAGATAAATTTGTGTCCAATCTGCAATTGAGAATATGCAATGTAATCAGGAAATGAAGGAAAAGGAGAGTTGATTTCAGGGTTAAATTAATTACGAGCGATATATTTATTTAACGGTGGCTGTGCTCCACTTTCGATGTTTCGCATTGAATGTAACGATTGAGGAAATGTAAATGAAGCAGAAAACAAACGTAATTTTACAAATGATGTTAATCTGTTGCAGAAACTTACATGTCGTAATTGTCCTTGTAAGAAATTAAAGAATTTGTCAAGTGCCCCATGATCCAGGCTCCTCTAAAAATCTTCGGCACATTTATCAGACAAATTATTTACGTTTAAATGCGAACTTTTTTAAAAATATACATTTCAAGAATACTTTCCCATTAATTATTAATACTTTGACTCGCAATACATTTGTTAGTTTTTCTTTTTTTCTTTGAGAAAGAAGACTTTTTGCTGAACCAATGTTTCTTTAATGTTAAAAAGTGTCTTGTAAATTTAGTAAAATTAAATATTTTGAAGTAACAGTTGCATGAATTTCTATTACTGCAATAATGTTACTCTTTAGTTAAAAAATGAAACTGTAATACACGAATTATAAAAAGGAGGATTAATTTTCTGATGAAAAAAATGGAGTCTGTGTGTTTTATAAGCTGAAATTATAGTTAAATTAATATTTTCCTTGCAGTTAAAGTGTATTTCTCCAAAATTATAAATAGTGAGTTTAAACTAATTTTTTGTAAATTTGGAATTTGTGAATTTGGTTAGAAGAAATACAATGGGAAATACAAAAATTAAGTATAGAAAGAATATAAAGCATAAATTTTAAGTGATAATTCTGTAGACTAAAGTAACACAAATATCTAGAACAAATGGATTTCAAGTGTCTTACTATAGTAGAAATTGTGACATTTTGCGATATTTTATATAGAAAATTGTCAATTAAACATTGAAACAGCCTACCACTGAAATTCACAAATTATGGGATTTTCTAGTAAAGGGTATTAATGTCTTTTCCACATCACAGAAACATATTCAAATAAGTAATCTACATGCAAAGCCGGAATAAGATGAACATCAAGAATAAAAAAATTGCGTTTTAGTCTTTGCTTTTTAATTATTAATATTTCAAGATATCCCTGTAGCCGAGAAAATCTCCCCACATTACCGAATATAGAACACGTCATGATACGGCGGGTGGGGGGTTAGTTCTACATGAGATATGGAGTAGACCACTTATTCAATGTATTTTTTTGTCACACGATCCCGGGGTTCCGGAACCCCGTTACCATCATCCTACCGTATCGATTGGTACTGGTATTATATCACTCGCTATTAGTGGTAGGAATTAAAATTAAGAACACTTGGTATTTGTTATTTTAAATAATGAAGGAGACAAACTTTTGAATCTTAGGATAAATCAGAATGGATTCAGTCACACACATTTGCGTTTTGGGATCCAAGAGTGTATTGACAACACAGTAACAATGCATACATGACCAATACCGATCGTTTTGCGCGATGCAGTTCTTAAAGTGACCGTTCTTATGTGTAGAGTGCGCTCCAAAATTAGTAGTTTTTGACGACGTCGGTATTTCACATCGTGTAACAAAAAGTTCCATAAGATGATTGGTCTACTCTACATTTTATCTATGCCTATATCACAGACGAGGTACAGGATAGACCTTGGATCTAATGTATTTTTGTGTCCAACGTTTTGAAATACCGATCGTGTAAAAAATCAGAGTGTTTGTTATGCCCTCTACGATATAAAGCGATGAGTTTAGGAATTACATACAATCTAACCATCAAAAGGTAAAGTCGACAGATGTAAAAAATTCTCTTTTATTAAATTTGTTCGCGGCCTTTGATAGCAGTAGAACACGCGCATGTGATGAATCATCTACTAATAAACAATTATGTTACTTTTTTATTTGAAATTTCATAGTTACGTTTAATTTCAAATCCTAATGTTTTAATCTTATTCTATGCAGAATCGATAACGTTGGTAGCGACACGAAAATGGTAAGGGTCTTCTCGGCCCCAAAGCCTGGGACAAAAAGTCCCATAAGAGACTTAGGTCTGTCCTGTACCTCGTCTGTGCCCATATCTCGTCTATGGTATAGTGATCCTCAAAACCAACGTTACGTGGGACTATAGAGACATAACCCAATCGGACCCGCATTTCTTCCACTCGTCATCTTTGCAGCAACGCAGAGTAGTTTCTTTTCTAAAAAAGGTGTTCTTAGGCCTTTTTTTTAAATTTTGGTCTTGCTTGATTTAAAAGCATCCACTACTATGAAATTATCGTCACTTGTTCAAGAATTATAGGTATCGTTATAATGTCGTACACACACTAGTGCTTAAATACTTTACAATTCATACTATTATTTCTTTTATTACTTATTGTTCGTTATTTCAACGAGTTAATTATTAACGTGTACTTCACTTGTAATTTTCAGCGCGGTTTGGATGCAGACACACGCAGGCTCTACTGATGGCTATAGGCTTCTTATGCTGCTACGCCATTAGGGTGACCACATCGGTGACATTGGAAGCAATGACCAATGCAAAGGACGCAAATCCTGATTTCATAGTACGATTATTTTATTTATTATTCATGTATCTACATTTATTTAAATGACCTTCAATAGTTATGGCCGTCTAGCTCTTTTCGTCGTTTAGAATTTTTTGTCAAGCATTCATTCGTAATACGAGCAATAGATTGTAGCACGCGCACAAGTTTCTTAACAAATTGTAAAAAGTTGTAACACTGCGCTCTTCCTTGTAAAATCATTCGCTTTTTTCACAGTTGTTTTTTTTTTTTTTTTGGATAGATCAGAAAAACCATGACTTTTGTTAAATGCAAGTAAGCTAATGCTTGTAGATTTAGGTTAAGTTCGCGATATACGACAATTTGAACTCGACTCTCCTCCCTCTGAATGTTCGAACCAGAATGCACTTTCCGATGTGTGCCCTGGAACTGTGTGACTGACTTTTTATTTATTTTCTTTGTTATTTCTGAAACCTGAAAATTTTGTAGAGCCGCCTGGAGTCAGTCTCCTTATGTTCGTCCACGAAAATCCATACCTACATAGTGCTCTTTTATGTCTTCTCTAATTGCTTGTATAGTTGAATTATAGCAATCATCTAAATAATTTTTCCGTAATGTTGATTCGTCCAGTATGACGTGACTTGGGATGTATTCCGTCAGAAAATTCCTTCGTACATTATTGTGTGGAGTTAGGTGTTTACGTGATTGAGGTTCTGGAAGTGTATTTCAACAATAAATGTTTATTGATAATAATATACTCAAGTCTAGATGACTATATCTGTTATCACTACAGTAAATTCTCCACAAGTGTCAGTCCGCAAGGAATCTAAACCTGACACTTGTAGAGTCAGGGACTACGTTTTCGAGCCTCGCGCCCGCCTTTGTAGTTTGTCGAACGTAGACAAGGACAGCGAATAAAAGATAAGGATGAAACGTGAGTCGAGGCAACCAAGTGATTTAAATACCAACTTTTTTAATTTTACGTTTTTTTATCCCGAAATTTTTCTTAACATATTGATGAGATTTTTCTGATGAAAATGACATCAAGCACGACATAATTTGAACAACATTTACTTATTAACACGTTCACTGTCACGCCAGACAGCGAGATAACATAGGCGCAGCAATGACGCAGCCTAGGCGTAGAACCATCTATACTGACACTTGTGGAATCCAAACTGACTGACACTTGTAGAGAATTGTTCTACTCTTTCATTTCACGCTATTCCACTCAAGTTCTACTCCCCACAAATCCTCTTTCCACACTGCCTTTTTCGCAACACACTTTCCTCGTTCTCTCCCGAAAAACTCATTCTCCCCTTTGTTCTTTCCCATCACGCTACCCTTAGGTTTTCCCCGTAATGATCTACGCGCCTTGGGCCCCGCGGAAAAGGGCCTTTCTTTTGGTTTAACGTGATGGAAATCTTTAGCAAGGCACCCCTCCCCCCGGGGAGGGTGCGCTAGGGAAGGCTCCGAGAGCTTAAGGATTGCGTTCACAGCCCTCCCCGGGTCTTTGACTTGCGTTCCGTCCCGTGGGAGAGGTGTGACGTTCGCACCACGCCGCTCCCCAATTTGTCTCCGCCCGAACAACCTTGTCCGGTGAATACCTGGGTCACGCGATAGGTGAGACATCCTCTGTCGCGGTCCAGTCAGCTATCCAAGCTAGACATGACCGCCCCGGCCAGTGCGCCCAGTCGGGTTTCTCAAAAAACGAACGAACGAAGGCAAAAATGCTCGCGATCCTACATAAATATACTATTATATTATACTATATTGTTGTTAAGGTTTCGTTAGAACTAGTTTATGATACGGTCGCCTGTAGACGCTATTTTTGAGAAGGCAAAGTTTTACTCGTACCTGAATAGGTGGTACGTGACCTTAGCATTAGCTAAATTAATTTTCTGTCTCTCTCAATAGCAATTACCGTGTCATAAACTTTAGGGAACCCAAGAGTCGGACGGCCACGGTGACCCGATCAACGGTACCTTAGGCCTTTCCCCGTAGGGGTGAGAAGTCGCTCATTACTCCCGCTCCGAATCCTTCTCTCTACCCTCAGTGAACCGATTAATGCCATCACGCTGACGTCACCCTGGGCCTTTCCCCGTAGGGGTGAGAAGTCGCTCATCAACCCCGCTCCGAATCCTTCCCGCTACCTTTCCACAAATTCCATCCGCCAATTGAATATTCGCATTTTTGTCACCCCGTTTTCCACTTCCCTTCCCCTGTCAACCAATCAGTGCCATCACCGATGCTTTAAAAACACGCGTAAACGTGTCTTAGAGATAGTTAAGAATAGTCAACAGTAAAGGGAACACAATTGCTAAGAATAATAGAAGAAGAGTTATTATAATTTACATAGTCTCTTATATTTGTAAGAGTGGTCCTTCGAGACATACATATTGCAATCACGTGCAATTTCTACAAAGCTCGATAGGTATCTCATTGAGATCCGACCACGAGCGTTTACAATTGTATATTATTTATATATACATTATACATTTGTACACTAAAACCGGTCACCCTGTGTAAGAATAACTGTCAGGAAAATTAATTTGAAAGATAGATATTTCACATGGCAAATGCACATGCTGTTATGCATTATGTACAAAATACAAGCTAAGAAATATATTTTTTGAATCCTGAAATCATAGAACACATTTCTGACCAAGTCCCATTGCTTTATCTGCTTTCTATAAAAGTATGCATTTGCACAAATATCCACTGTCTACGTCTATTCTGTATCTTGTCTGTGGTTCCGCTCATGACTCTTCTATTGTCATTGTTTCGTCCTGATGGAAAACAACTCACTACCTTCGCACGACAAACATCGAAATGTTGTTACAGTCCGTGAATTTAACTATTTACTCAGCAACAGTTTTGATTTCACGAAAATTATTTCGATGATGACAAAGTCAACATGTAACATTACAATATATAACCGCGAAATTTTCTTAGCTTTACATTTGTATTTATCCTTGAACTATCGGATATGTCGAGAAGTGCGAACAAGTATCAAATAAATAATATTGATTCCTATCAGATTTAAAGACAGTTTTCAAAGCTGCGATTTTTCTTTAACGTAGGAATTGCCATGGGACCATACGATCAAGGACGTAATTCAAAGTTCTTTCTTTTGGGGATACGTATGGACACAAGTAATCGGTAGCATAGTGGCGCAACGTTGGGGAGCACACAAAATGTTCACATTGGCACAATTTGTTTGCGGTTTGGTAACAATCGCAATTCCTCTACTTGCCCAATACTGTGGATGGGAAGCGGTTTGTGCTTCTAGAGTAATCGCCGGTTTATTTCAAGGCACCGTCCTTCCCTGTCTTCACACCTTACTTTCAAAGTGGGCTCCTATAGAAGAAAGAGGAAGAATATGTGAGTATTTATATTCCTGAATCTCAAATAATATTAAACAATAAATATTTTTCGTTAATACCTCGAAAACCAAGCTTCAAACTACATTTTGGATAAGGAAAAAGTTGTTCAGGGTCACCCCAGCAACCCCCCATTTCCGGATTTTCCCAGAGTTACGGGACACTCTGTATAGGCATTAGGTTGGTTCTGATTGATGGTTGTGTTATGGAGGTGGAAAACGTGGTGTGTTCTACTATTGATCGACGAAACTGTGACCTTTTGGTCGATCTCCGGTGACGAATGTTTTATGGTCCCGAGTGTTTTTGGGACCTATTGTCCGAGTGTCGCGCTGGTGCGTTCACGGGGGGTATATTGCGGTCTTCCGAACGTTGGCACCTCGGTCTGGCGGCCAAATGTGACTAAGTGGCTTATTACTATAATCCGCCTAGCCGAGACTTCGTTGCGTCCTCATCAGGTCGCAACATTACCAATGATCAATAATTAGCATTTTCTATGTTTGTTGCGTGTAATTCAGCAACCTTCGTTTACACTGGAGGGTGGATTGGAAATGTACTTTGTTTGCTGAGTACGGGTCAACTGTCGGGTTCCGTTTTGGGTTGGCCCAGCTGTTTCTACGTGTGGGGCGGTATTACTATTGCTTCCAGTATATTATTCTTTGTTGCCGGAAAAGAATCACCAAACGAACATCCAACTATACCACGCGATGAAAAAGAGTATATTGAAACTAGCCTTGGAATAATGGAAACAGAAGAGGTAAGAATATTAGTTAGATTTGCAAAGTATTTTCGTAACAACGTTAAACTCGTCAGAAATCTAAGTTGCTTAAATGCTTGTGCATTATGTTGCCATTAAAGAACGCAAAGTCGCGGAAGATGATTAATTTTATACCTTACTGACAAAGTGAAATTTTTGTGGATATGGATTTGTGTACTGCAAAGTATTACAAAACGGCGGCGAGTGTTTAGTCTATCGCGTACCACCTGAATAGCGATAAGGACAAGGACAGGAAGCGAGCACATTCTGTTCCCATTACCGAAAATTACTGTTTTTCGCGATGTACAGGGAGCTGATTTTCAGGGTTTACAGTTAGTCTTTATTCAGAACGTCACTCCGCCAATCGGATTGCCTATAAATTGCCAACAATTTATAATTATATTCTACATAAGCGTCAACTAGACAATACTGTCTAAGACACCCCCGCGGCTCGCCGCGTAAAGTCGAGGATTGACCATATCAATTATTTAAATTTCATTGTAATTGTTCACTTGTGTCAGCACAACTTAAGTAAATTTAACACAGGATAGGGTATTAACCAAAAATGTATTAAAGTATAGTAATAAGCGACTGCTAAGTGCTTCGGTGTCCGTCTCGCTCGACGGCTATATCCAGAGTATCCTCTTGTATTAAAGTATAGTGATAAGCGACTGCTAAGTGCTTCGGTGTCCGTCTCGCTCGACGGCTATATCCAGAGTGTCCTCACCGCGTCGTATCCTGTTGGAGCCCCCTCGTTCGACTTTCCGGGGAAAGGGCTTAGTTTATGGCACCCTCAGGTACCCGCGCGCTTTCTCTTCCTGGGTGACAAAGTCCAGGCCACCACTTCGCCGCCGAAATCTCGCATTTCTTACACTTGTATCATTGTAACTTGTGTAACTTTTATTTACATTAGAATATAGTCTTGTTAAGTTATGTACATTCGGCGTTACCCATACGTCGGTTCGTCCTTGAAATCTCCTAGTGGCTCCCGATGTTAGCTATATGTACACCGGTTCGTCCAAACCATTCTTATCTGCTTTCTTACTAACCACTAACAAGGGAACTTCGGTAACCCGAAACTTTGCATCGAGTATGCTTGCACAGAATGTAGATAAGATTTAATAATTTCTGATTACCGGAACATAATGGCAAGGTGGGGGATATATCTCATTTTATACATGGTTTGGTTTCACATAATTAAACATGTTAAACTAAATGCGAATCACCGAATGTATAAAGTTAGAATAGGTATAAGATTGAAAATCTTCTCCACTTTGTGCTTCGATTGAGTGGCCAAAATCCATCGAAGTCTACGTCCTACATTAGTTACAAGCACTAATATAATAAGATTCTCTGATTAGGCTTGTAATATATATGTATATACACTTATTATTGTTTATATTATTCTATCAGTATATTATATTTTGTCACGATAAAATTTAAGCGACTAACAAGAAAATGAGAATGTGATTCACAGAATAAGAGTTGTTTATTATTCTACGGCAGTTTTAAGTTTATTTTTATAAGTAAATGAACCTTTTTATTTCTTGCGACCTTATAGTTTTTAAAAATCTAGAATTCTACAGTAATTGTTTGAATAAACGGTTCTAAATGTAAAATAATGAATTGTACAGTCGATTAAAATAAGTGGTAACATAAACAATATTAAAGGAGCTGATTTCCACTGAAAATTTCTTCGATTTTATAACCAATTTAAACAATAATACTAATCCTGACTCTATATCGTAAGTTTATTTCTATAGCAGAAAAGTTTATCAAAACTTTTTGTGTTAGTAAAAAATAAACAGAATTGTGTATATTTAAACGATTAAAATACTGAAATAATTTCATTTCAGAAATTACGAACTCCGTGGATTGCAATATTAACTAGTATTCCAATGTGGGCACTGCTGGCTACCCAATCTGGTCACAATTGGGGCTTTTGGATGCTTTTAACAAAGATTCCTTCATACATTGCATCCGTTTTTAAAATGGATATTAAACAAGTACGTAAGATATTCTGTTTCACCTCATTTTTATAGCACATTAAACAAAAAAAAAATATATATACGTATAAACACCCTGTAGACTCTTTCAATAATTTCAAATCTAGCCGCTTTCTATTATTACCCTTGTAATAATAGAATTCCAAAGTTCATAAGATATAAGTAAATGAAAGCTTCTCGTGTTTTATATAAGACGGTATAATTTTTGTTTCTTTTGAAGGGCAAAAAAGAAAAAACAAAAAGTTGAAACAAAAACTAAAGTTTTATATATCGAGGTGACTTTCATTATGGGGGTATTCTAGCGTGACAGCCGTTTCTTAGGCCTTCTTTGATAATTTATTAATTACAAATATTTTCTTGAAAAATAATTAAATATGGCTGCTGCGGAACACGTCAAACACGAGCATGAAAAAAAAAAACAGTACGTTGATGGTTGCCATGATTTGAGCTGTTCTGCTTAAATCCAATTAATTCTTATTTAGTATGCATGTCACTATGGTCGGTAGTAGAATAAAAGAAAAATATTGAAAATTTTAAAAATGGCGGCACTTTGAATATGAAGTTTCAATTTTTTCGACTTTTTTTCGTCTTTCAGAGGTTGTAAAAATTATAAAAATATATGTTTTAGCATAATTCAACTACCGACCATAGCCACACATGTGCTAAAGACATATACAAAATTTGAGTTCGATTGGTACTGTAGTTTTTGCCAGATCGTGGCAAATATTTCAGAAAACATGGTTTCGAGAAAAACGCGTTTAAAGTTTTAATTGCAATTTACATAGGGATAATTCTATTTATCTTTAATCTGCTAGGGGACCTTCCTCTTCTTGAAACAAATGTTATCGAGCTGTTCTTTCTTCTTTCCGATCAGTTCTGGCTTTTTACTTCTCTAGCTTATAATTAACGTCGACATTTGATTTTTATTTTATTTCTTTACTTGTGTCAATAGACTATCATTATTATTATTTTAAATACACTTTTCCGAACCTGAACTAGAAATCCAAGTAAATTCCACGTACATATACATATGTACAGATTACTACGCGCTTTACTGTTGCAAAACTCCATTCTCCCTATCGCCGGCCTTTGATGTGCCACACTAAACGAGCTATAACTTCGTTATTTTATTGAATACAACTATAAAATTTTAAGAGCACATTCTTAAAGAGTTGTACTTTCGATATATGCAAAACAAAAATCGATTTTTTAAAACCGTCACACTAGAATACCCCCTTAAGAGCGGAAAACGATGTCACTTAAACGACCATCTTCAAATGCGTCAAGAACTTTTGCACAACTCTGTATATAATTAGGCAAAAGTTTACAAATGCATGTCTATTAAATTTAATAATTTTATTACACTTGTTTTCATGTTTCAAAGTTTATGTCGAATTTATATCGAGTGATCCTTTTTAGAATGGTGTTCTTAGTGCGCTACCATATTTAACAGCATGGCTTCTCAGTTTTCCGATCAGCAATATTTCGGATCTTCTCATCAAACGAAATATTTGGACCGTTCAAGCATCGAGAAAGATTTGTAACACGATCGGTCAATGGATTCCAGCTATTGCGTTAATTGGTCTTGGATATATTGACACGGAACAACCCAATATTGCAATATTGCTTTTGGTAATCGCAGTTTCTAGTAATGTTGGTGTTTACTGTGGACACAATGTAAATCACATGGATCTTAGTCCAAACTTTGCCGGTCCTTTAATGGGAATCACAAACACTGTGGCAAATATTTGCAGTATTTTGGCTCCACTAGTTGCCTCCGTTGTCATCCAGAACCCGGTACGTATGATAAACTTAATAATTAAAATATCTTGTATCTCAATGTATTATTGCATTTAAATTTAACTTGCTATCCCTAAACTTTCTCGTACATTCTTCTAAACAATCAATTCTGACACCCGATAGCAACATGACTTCGAGTCACATGTTTTATCGTCGCGTCGGGCGTCTGGTTTGCACATTCTTACAAATACTTTCTCTGGTCACACGCAGTCTAACATAAGTACCTTAACGTAAATCGTACGAAAGCAAAATAAGGTCGAGCTAATTGCCTTCGACGACTCTTAAAAATACGTTATCTTTAACATGCACGTAATAAATTTCTATTTATAAATTTTTGATTTTACACATGTTCGGTCTAATTTTTCACAAATTAATTGATTAAACACTGTGAAATCTAAAGCATTAAATATTTCACAATGTGTACTCATAAATATTAGTATACAATTTCTTATAATGTATATAATTAGTATGACATTTGTATACAAAATTCATTTAACTTAAACACATGCTTATTAGTTTTTAACTATTTTAAATAACATATTGAAAAACTAAATAAGAGCAATATCTGGGCATCTGAAAAGTTTGTTGATTCGTTTTCTTTTTCCCCCAATTTTTTAGACCAACGTAGCAGAATGGAGAAACATATTCTTTTTGTCAGCTATAATATGTTTTGTTGGCAATCTCATATTCATTGTGTTCGGTACAAGTAAAATTCAACCATGGAACGATCCGGTCAATGAAAGGAAGGGCATTACCATGAATTCTGTAACAGAATCATCAGTGGAAAATGGGCATGAACAAAAAGCAAAAAACATTGAAAACATAGGCACAAACAAATACTTATGATATTACCATGACATTAAAAAGCATTAAATTACTGAAGCTTACCGTAAAAACTGTGATTGATGGATGTATGTTTATTATTATTATATTTCTGAGTGTATCTGAAATAACTCTTAAAATGTGTGTATTGTTTATAAATATTTGTATGTATGTATGTATTGTATGTATTTAATATTTATTAAAAAATTATACTATAACGGATTTTAAGTAAATTTACAAAAATTTTCTATTATAAGAATATCGATAGTACTCATGATATACTAACATGTTTATGTCAAATATATTATTCTCTTTTTGGATGTTGTCTTGGTACAGATTTCCTAATTGTTTGGACAAGAAATATTGTACATAAAGCTGTTATTATTAATGTAACATAAGATACTAGAGATACCATATTTATATCACCAACAGGTATTGTCCAAATATCTTCCACGTCCTATAAAAAGAACGAAAAATTAAATATATTCCTTCCTACAAAGTTTCACATGAATCTGCACAGTCGCTCATAAGTATTTGCTCATTTACTTTTCTTTCTTTCATTCAAATATGTGATAAATTACAATAAGAGTCTCCGAATCAATTAAATCCACGAAAATTCTTCTTGAAAAGTTCGAAAATAAAACTTTGCTTATAAAAACAAAGGACATTGTACATAAATAGGTAAACAGACACTTACGAGCGACGACGGAAGCATACTTTTATTTAAACAATGTGATTTACTATTTACCATACTATATGGAATCTCTCTCCATTTTGATGCAGTCTCTGCACACGAAGAGCACAAATCAGTTTTAGAAATCCTGTATTCTCGAATTCTTTGCTTACAACCTAATAGCAATTTTGGTCTTGGTAAAGTAATATTCATGTATCTATTATTCCTATTAGCATATTGATAACGTTGATGTATTGGAATTTTCATAGCACAGTCTGTATGAGATAGATACGAGCAAATAGTTACGTTCTGAACTTGTGCATTTTCTGCAAATAATTCAACGTCGGTTTCGCCACTAGAGCACACTGTGTTCTGAAAAATAGGTGGTCAATATCAAGACAATTTTATATTACAATATTATTTTAATATTACATGTTAGGTGTTGAAGAAAGTTCTTTTGCTCTCTTTTTCTAGATTTTTCTGTAATAACATATAATTTTTTAATTGAATTATTTTCTTTCAGTTGAAATATTTTTCATTACTCTGTATAATTTTAAATCATCTGTCTTGTCGTTTACGAATTCTATCGCGGGGAAAAAGATAATAAAACAAAGGAGTAACTGAAGGGTGTGCAACTAATAACGGAAGTTCGGTAACTTGAAAATTCAAAAATAATTTGAAATTTTGTAGAAATGTAGTCCAAGTGACGCTAATAACGAAACTATTCTTTAATTCAGCAATGAAATGGTCCTGTGGGTGAAAACACTGTCAAAGAAATTGTGAAATTTTATATTATCGTGAATACACAAAACCATGTAAGATATAGAAAAAAAAAGTAAAATTTAAAGTTGCATGGTTTTCCATATCCTACATTGTACCAGTGGTCAGTTTTCTCTGAAAAATGAGACAAAGTGTTAAAAACTTTCTACTTAAAGAGGATACAAAGATGCATCGATCGATTGGTGAAAAAAATTAAGGTAATCTTAGTTTCTGATTAAATGAAAAGTGTTTTGCCAATTTTTTCGATTACAATTTGTTGTCACATAATTACTAACTTTTGTGGGAAAAACTTTTTTAAAAGTTTATCGAGAATGCGTGAAAAATCGAAACGACTTTTGATACTTTTTCTAAAACTCAAGTTAAAGTCGATAAATACTTAGTATAAAAAATTTGGACAAATTATTAATATTGCAAAAAAGGTATTTTGCAGCTTGGAAGATCTTGTAATACTAAGCATAACTTATAAAAAGCTAAATTAATCAGAGAAACATTCAGTAAAAAGCACGTATTAGGAAAAAAGTGCGCCGAAAATTGGAATAAATTTCAACCATCATTTTTGACAACAAATTGAAAAGTGTATTTTAAGATATAATAAACTGAGACTTTTAGATTTCAGTTTTTTTTTTTTATTTTTGTCCATTGCTCGAAAAAGAACACATGAAGTGTAATTCTCGGATTTTGACGAAGCTTTGCAGGTCAGTAAAAAATTAAAAGATGTACGGCCATATTCAATTCTAGACGTGGACACTCAATAGTTTATGAAACATTTAAAAACAAATGTTGAATTTGGCCAAACGGTCAGACTGGAAAATTGCTGGAAACGGCTGTCGGTGGTCACGTGCCAAACGATTTCGCTAGCGTCTTACATTGGACGCACTCATGCCGCGGATAACGCAAATCTGAATAGTGATAGTGTAGGAATAGTAGTTTATTAAAAAGTCTACGGACGTCGAGCAATTCACCTTGATAATAATAATAATTCACGTTGAACGTGAATGGCGCGGCGAAAATATAGAAAAAATAAAAAACTTAACTAGATGTTAAGATGGTCATCAACATACACAATACACATTCAAGACAGTAACTAAATATGTGATGACCGACAAGGATGCTCCCCTGCCAGAGTCTAGAAAATTGAAGAAGACAGCTAACAAAACAAAAGTTCATGTTTTCCTACTGTAACAAGCAAATGAGATAATACAGCAACTTAAAGATATCACAACACTCGCAACCAAACGGAGCCGCTTAGAACAGGTCAGGGAAGAAGCGACAACACCAGTACCCATGCAATCAGCGTTGGAGACAGACATCGTTATTCTGAACATACCAACAGCTAACTCATTCGCACTACTGCAAAATTCACCGGATTGCAGTGAAGTGAGTTCACCGACTCGGCCGTAACATCAGCTGTTTTGGATTGCCTGGAAAGGTCAGGATCGACACAATGACCCACTTCCGTCGAAGCAGATTAATTCGTGGACGAATGGGTAAATTTTTCATAAGTAAAAACACTTTCTTCCTTTCGGGTAACGAATAAAAGTATCGAACACAGTTATTAAACGACATATTTGTTATTCATGAATAACGAATAATTCCACATTATTCTTAATTTAACACTTTGCCGGCCGCACATTTTTCGCATCGCCCTTAGGTATGTATTGTTACACAAACATCGAAATGACGGCAAAAAATCATTTCTCTAAGCCTTATAAAAATAGAAAAGTCACGCGTACGCGTTTGTTCACGATCGCGCGCGGATGAGAGTCAGCGCTCCCGTGGCTGAGCGCGGGCTCTACGCGCGCTCTGATTGGCCAGTGTTTTTCGTTAATAATTCAAAAACGAAGCTTCAAGCAACATTTTGGTAAAGGAAAAAGTTGTTCAGAGTCACCCCAGCAACCCCCCATTGCCGGATGTTACACTCTTTACGGAACACCCTGTATAGAGTAACGGTACCGAATATGAGACCCCATTTATGGTTGATTAAAAAAAATATTATGTATAAAAAAATATAGCATTCCATTTAAAAAAATTAAACTGACTTTAAAAAAAATATTTATACCTCATAATCCCCCCCATACCAAACAACTTTTGTTAAAACATTCTTTTCCTAACATCACGTCCTTAAAAGATATTTCGCTGTATTGAGATAAAACAGACACCCTGTACATTTCCGGTTTCATTTTATACTGGAGGGGCTGCAGCCCCTGTGGATGAGTCGCCGCTGGTGATAATAATACTACAAAATAGGAAGGGAATGGTAACAGATGTATGTACATCTAAATAGTCTGTTTATGCGAGCTGTGTTTACGATCTGAGGTCGTTGAAAGCGTTGAATGTAACTTCTGCCAGTGCAATTCTTGTCTTTACCATAGTAACCGCAAATTCATTACCATTTCTTTCGTATTTCGTATTTTTTTTATCAGTTTTTAATGAAGATTCAAACTACTTATGTTTATATATCATTTCTTTTTCACTTATGCTCATAGAACATATTGACAATGTTTGATCGAAAAAAAACTAGGACACCCTGTATACTATATAATTTGATCATATTCTACCTTATTAACTTACAATTTTTCTTAAATGAGCCAATTCGTTAACGTTGAGATATAAAGCAGATGAAAGTTGCAAATAAAGAGCAACATAACATCCCTCTATAAAATGATCAAAATGTATTTGATATGTTAAGTCCCTGTAAATCAAATTTTTCTTAAAAATAAATCAAAATAGTTTACAAAATTACAAGAATCTTAACTAATTAAATCTCTATTACCCAAATATTCATTACCATTGCAATTTTTTGTTTTTATCATCAAAACATTTAGATGTGTATATTATTACTACCTTTATATCTTTTAACAATTTTCCATTATAAAAATGTTGAGCACTCAAAATAAATGAAAATCAACTAACTAACAAAATGTTTAAATTGTAACAATTTTTGTCACATGATCAAATCTATCTGATTTGGCACTGTTGTGATGGAAGATGACTTTTTTCCTAGATACTAGTGAAAAATAATATTCGACAGTATTACTTCTTTGATTGATTGATAGAAGTTCAATTTTTTTTTTCAGGATATTGTTAAAGAATTATGCAGACAAATTTTGTTGTCTGTAACTAATTATTTCAAATACTATTTAGTAAAGAATCACAAACTGAAGATCTATGTGATAAATTCAACTCAATTACTTTGCATGGAACCCAGAAGGTATATTTGTTTGTCATTGTAGATATGTAGTACTGTTTGAGACTTCCAGGTGTAAGCCATGTCCAAAATGAAATTGGTTTCAACGTTTTGCCAGCATTGCAGCTGTAGCTTGATCAGGGCCTGAAGACGCACTGATCCTGTCAGTATAAACCAGGCTGTGAAAGCATCAGAACTCTTGTTTTCGTTCCTACTTTATTGAAATGTAAAAAACTGTATATTTATGAAATATTCAACATTTCAGAAGTGCCCTATGTTGTATGCTTTGAAGTTTTTTAATTGACATTAATCTCAGTGGACCCATCATTCCCCACCTAATTCTTCAAATTGAATGATTAAGCTGATAAAGAGTATAGTATAGTCATCTTAAGGGACCTCTGAGAAAAAAAATTCAACCAGTCCACTAGTAACAAAGTAATTTAAGGTGATCATGTTTTGTGATTTCAATAGAATATATTGCTTTTATCCTAATTTCCCTTTGAATAAAAGGAGACTTTCATCAAGTGAAAAATCTTTTCCTGGTATTATGGCTGCCAAAAATGCTTTATTTATTGCTGTGTGTACAAGCCAAATCTTATATAATTTCAGAAATGGACAAGAATCATGAGTTGTGTTATCCACAAAATGTACATAACTTTTAAGTAATTGGAATCATTTGTGTGCCATAATACATCTCATGAGTGGAGTCTCAATACTTTGTTTTTTTAAATCAATTTGATTCTTCAGTGGATTTTATACACAATGCCTTGCAAAATATTTAGTGTTAGAAACACATATATTTCAGTTACATTTGTATTCTGCCATTTATTATAGCAAGATGAACGAAATTGACTATTATCTCTCAGATGTTGAGCATTTTGAGTATAACTGTAAACGGGGGTAGAATCAAATGGAAAATTGCACAGAGTGTAACTTTTCTATTGAATATTACTGTCTTAAGTATTTCCATATTTACTAACAAGCTAATCTTATACTTGGATCTCTTTGTTTGAAAGTTAAAGCCATACTGACTTTGAATGTAGCAAACAATGGAATAGAAGCCTTTCATTTTTGTATAGTTGTTTTATATCTTATGTAAACATCCAACAAAATGGATTGAGCGATGTGACAGATAGACTAATCAAGGAGGATTCTACTCTACCTGTACGATGTATGGGCTAAACTTTAAGGCTATTCTTCACTGTGCCCATATATTGTATGGCCTAAACAGCAAAATAGTTAAATGAAAAGGGTTATTTCAAAGTACCTATCAAAAGGAATGCAACATGGAAAACAATGACCTTCAAGCTTATAAAAAGTCAGGAATAAGAGAAATAATGTGTATGTTTTGTAAAACTGTGTTTGCTAATATTTATAAAGCCTAACCTATAAAGCTTTATGTATGAGATTGTTAATAAGGCTAATATTTATGAAAAAATCTGGCTAGTAATAACATACAAATCATATTTAAATGTAAATAATACAACAGAATGACACAGTAATAAATTACGCAGATAATTGCATTCTTTCATTAATAATAAGTAATACTTTTATTTAATAATTCATAATTTATGTTGGTGGATAAAATTATAAATATATATCTATCGATTTACATTTTTATATGGAATTGTGCGCGTCAAACTAATCAAATCATGATTAAGTTGGATAATAGAGATTTTCTCTGCTACACCTTATTATATCTAACCTATGAAATCCTATTCCTTGTACTTTCAGTGACATATGAGCACTTAATTTTTCACAATTTACAGTAGTTTGTAAAAATATCATGCAAAATAAATTAATATGAATAAAACATTGTTTAATACGGCTTAATATCATTTTTTACAATAATAACAATCACTTAATCGACTAACGAGTACAACTGATGTTTTCAATATCACAACATACTTTACTTTTAGATCAGATTAATAGATGTCACTGATTTATCATTTCAATATGCTTAAATGGTACAAAGTATTTATTAAAAATAATTAATAACAATCATTAGAGTAATATTCTTCACATTTTCATATTCAACTCTTAAAAATGAATGTAATAATTATATAAAAGCAGAATTTCAAGTGTAATGTAGTATTTCCGTTCTCCAAAAAATTAAATGGAAGATACTTATTCCAAAATAAATAGTAAACAAAGATAAATAAATATTAATATTTCTATTTTTTGTGAAACAGCATTTTTATGAGTTTTACAACTCAAAATTTCTTTTTTTCTAAATTTTAGTCATTAATCAAATGCATGGTTTTTAAATTTAAAATTAATGCAATCTTTTTTAAAGAGAAGTGTAAATAGCATGAATAACACAGCATAGGATGAATAATATGTTTTCATTATTTTATACAGTTTTATGACTGAAATAACCATGAATTCTTTACTGATATGTAAAAAGACTTTCGTTAAAATCAATAACAACTTCTTTCTTTCATGTATTAACAGTAATTCAAAATACACATGTTGAATTTCATTATTTTCTGTTTGTATTTGTATTTATAAACATGGGCAATGTTATTATCTGCTTCTTGTTATTGTTAGGTACTATTTATTATTATGCATTTGATTCGAATAATTTAATAAATAAGAATAAGATTATGTATTGCTTTTTAAAAATTAATTTTATTACTGTAGAAACTGTTCAAAACGTCGAGCATGATACTGCATACACAATTGTGCTCTTAAAACTCAATTATTATTCACTTCTTGTAGTGCATTATAAGTATTTTTTAGTTCCTCAAACGCCAAAACAATGTTTCCTTTTAGTTCTTCAATACTCCTACCAATTCTGGAATATACTTAATGGAAGCAGAATAATAACATTGCCCATGTTGATAAATACAAATACGAGCAGAAACAGATTCGTCAAGTCGAAACTTACAGTTAGTCCTATACTTGTATCGCACAGATTTTCAAAGTCGTTTTTCTCGAAAACGAAGCCTCATATGCAAAAACTTTATTCTACATTTTCGACTTATTTTTTCACGAGGAATCACCCCCTGCCCGGTTGTACCACTGTTGCTGGAACACCCTGCATATTACTGCACATATCAGCATTATTTGTTTTCACCATTTCAAGTTCAAAATACTTTATACAATATTTATTACAACAAATATGTTCATATTTGTATTAGTATCAAATTAATTTCAATCACAGATTGTTAATTGATTCGGCAGTACTATAATATTTGGGCCCACGCCTATTAGGTCATATGATACATCGTTGAAAAGCGTATGAGTAGAGGAGTCCAATATGGCCGGTCATTACTACCGAAAATGTTCCATTCAGAGAGTGTAAGTTAAATTAGAATACGGTGAAAAAAAAATACATTCTTTTTGCAAAAAGATCGTTTTACATACAAGTACATTTGTCATTACGTATATTTAGGCGTGAGTTGTGACCTTATACAACTAATCCTGCGTTCGAAATATTACTATAGTACTGATGTCTGTAAGACTACGTTACTATGTAGATTGAGTTAGGTTTGGGTTAGATACACACATTTTAATCCATATTTTGTGATTGGGACATTTGCGGTAGCAATGATCACCCATGTTGGACTTCTCTACTGATACGCTTTTCAACGATGCATCATACGACCCAATAGGCGTGGGCCCAAATACTGTAGTGCAGCCGAAGAAATAATTAACAAAGATAAAAAAGTGATGGTTTCCTGTTGAATTTTTTCTCACCTATGTCTAATACGAAAAACAGCGACTGTGTGAAACACACGTAAAGAGTGTTACATAATGTCTACTGCAAGAATCTAATTTCATTCCAGGTTTCAGCAAAGCACCACCCTCGTTCGTTTCATTTTAGCTTTTTCTTTATCCCCCCTTCATAGTCACTTGAAGGTCACTTTAAGGTCATGAGTGAAACATTCAAATGCATTTTTTCATTCGCTACACGATGCAATGAAAAAAAAAAACGTGTTTTCCACATAAAAAATAACAATGACCTTGAAAGAACCAAGAAAAAATGACCTGACAAAAAAAATTCTCTTTCCAGATTATTGCTATATTATGTCAGAAATATTTTTCATATCATAAAAAATGAAGGAAATATTTAGGTGGCTTGCTTCGGCTGGGACACCCTGTACATGGATCTCTCAATACGTGCTTCAATGGTGCCTCCGTTCTGTTTGATTCGTGTACGGCTTGTCGATAGCATAAATGGACATTTATATGGTTCGCCGACGTGGGGATCACGAAGGAAGAGATGGTCGGGACTGTGTCCCGACGGCATCCATGGCAGACCCTGGATCATGAGTCTGGGCGCCTTTGGGGACCAACTGAAACGACTATTTGATGGTTAACTGCAGTCGGGCAGCTCCCCCCCTCCTCCTATGGTGCAGGAAAGGGAGGTTGATCCTTCTGAAGAAGGAGAACAGTCTTTTTCTGCGTACCGGCCGATTTGTCTGCTTGATAAGGTGCAAAGCTGTTTGAACGTGTCATTGCTTCCTGTCTCGCCGCTCACCTGTCCGGTGATAGCCCCGATCTGGCCGAGAGCCAGTGCGGCTTCTGAGATAAATGGTCAACTGTCGACGCGATAAATCACATCTAGTCCCTCTCGGACTCGGTCGTCTCAGAGGGCGGGGTTACGTTGGGGGTATCGTTAGATATCGTCAACGCATTTAACACAGCCCTGGGGGAGCATTAGAGAGGCACTCGAGTACCATCGAGTATCTCGTTACTTAAGGCGCCCGCAGGGGGGTGTTTTCGGACACCCGAGGCTTAGCGAACTCCCGGCATCCTGAGCTTCGAACCCTTTCCCCATCATCTCCTTATTCCATCCTATCCAATACCTTTCCTTATTTTTCCTTTCACCTGTAACAGGGTCAGAGCGCAGTACTTGCGTGTACTAATGAGTCCGCATTCCCGTGGTTCCCCGTGGATGCGGTGGCAGTCGACGTCGGGGTATTTGCTCGGTTTGACTGACAACGTAACGAAAGGGCTCATCCGCTGAAAACGCACCGTCTGGGAACTCTGAGCCCTTATCAGGGCGGCTACACTCAATTACTTAGGGCAGGTCGGGGATTACCTGACTGACAGACGCGACGGGTACCCTGACCAGTATGAGAAGACTCACGAGAGGGAAATCCGTTGCGGGGTCCCGCAGGAATTAGTCCTAGGACCGATTCTGTGGGACGTTGTATACGACGCGATATTGCAGGTAGCTCTTCCCCCGGGGTCTGCACTACGTTTCACGCGGATAACATTGGTGCTAACCATCGGGCGGGACCTCAGGGTGCGCATGCACCGTCGCCAAAATTGAGGGACTGGCGCTCAAAGTGGATCTTCCATAAGACCGAGGCCATTTGATTTTATGAGCCTCAGCAGGAGGTGGGGTAGTCCTTTTCTTTTTAAGGAAGGAGGGAGACATGCATTTACGCACTCCGGACAAGTTACGTAGAATTGGTCCGGCATTTAACGTGTTAAACGACTTATTAGTTTATTTGTTATTCATGAATAACGAATAATTCCAGATTATTCTTAATTTAAGACGATGTAACATTTGCCGCACGCTTCCCTCGATAACCACGCTGCGCCAATGCGTTTGTTCACGATCGCGCGCGGATGAGAGTC